CTCTCTATTAAACCTGTTCCTAACTATCAAACCCATTTTCTCTTCATTTATGCAGCTTTCTCTCTATCCATCCTGTCTGTCTATTAACCGAGTTTCCTCTATGTCATCCCAGATCTCTCTCTATCAAACCTTAATTAGTTAGATAGTTAGCTGGGTTATGTTATCATCATTGCACTCCGGACATGTCCATAGGTGCTGAGATCCTCCCCTCAGCATCCGGTGGCTAATAGTCTAGTTTTGTGTTGATTTACAAGTCCTCTGATGTGCCTAGTGTGTGTCTGATTTTTTTCTATGCCGATGTTAACTCCCAAGTATATCATTCTGGAGAGTGATTTGAATTCATTCCCAAAAAGTCCTCCACCCTTCCATTTCTCTGAGGGCATTAACAACATCAGCATGATTCATAGGTTGACCCTTGGTAGGGATGGTGGATCTAGCCAAACTATCAGCTCTTTCAATTCTATCGACACCTGTGTCTCCCGAAACGAAAATAAAGGCAAAGTGAACCTGTCTATCAACAAGTTTTCTCTTTATCTATCCAGCTTTCTCTCTACCAACCCTGTCGCTCTCTATCTACCCTTTTTCTCTATACCTATACAACTTTCTCTCTATAGAACCTGCTCCTTTCTATCAACCCATTTTCTTATTTATCTATCCAGCTTTCTCTTTAGCATGTCCCTCTCTATCGCTACAGTTTTCTCTCTATCTATCCAGCTTTCTTTTTATCTATCAATCCGGTTTTCTTTCTATCTATCAAACTTTCTATCAAAACGGTCCTCAGAACTCTAGAGGCAAATTCATGTTAAATAGGATATTTAAAACTATAAACATGAGAAACAAAAACAAAAACAAACAAAAAACAAAAGTTTGTTTTTAAAATGAATGCAAAGTTTATGTCTGACTGAAATAAAAGTGAACTTAATAAAAGCTTTTAAATGATGGCAATGAATACTGTCAGTATAAATGGTAGAAAATATTGGCCCTATATACTGTCAGTATAAATGGTAGAAAATATTGGCCCTATATACTGGCCCACTCACCCATGTATTCCAAGAGCTAATAAGGAAAGCAAAGTTTAGTAGCACTGTAACCCATCATGCATGTCATATGAGGATACAAAGAAGGTTTGACATGAGACTGTTGAATTAACAGAGTGAGCTCGGGGGTGGGGGGGGGGGGGGGGGGGGGGGGCGGGGGGCTCTGTGACCATTATATTTCTTCAGTGTGGCTATCTGTGGCCATTGGTATCAGGGTATTCTTGTCAGATGATCAAACCATCTCCTTTTAGGCCTAGTCTTCTAATTTCTTCATGTTTAATATTATCTATTCTTGTTACTCTGGCCCCTCTTCTAAGACACCTGATCTCTGTTGTTATAATGTTGTGCTGGTTAGTTTGACTAAGGGTGTAGGTTTGACACTGCTGGCAGACAATGCTGTTGTAGTCTTCTATTTCAGACAAAAGCTGTGTTAACCCTTTGTGTCTGAACTATTAGTGGTCCTTGTGTGGGTTATTTTTAAACCAAAACTGTGTTACCAGTGCCAAACATGGACATTATTGTATGACAGAAGAAAAGAAAAATTGAAACAACAGAAATCACACGTCTGAGACAAATCTGAATGTAACTAGAAGTATCAGAAATATGAAATCAGCAAAGAAGTGGTGACCGAAACAGTACTAATCTACATCAACAGACAACAGATCAAATGACTAAAACATGTGTCAAGACTACCCCAAGATAGGGCACCACAGACAGCCCTATTACTTAGACATCATGGAAGCTGAACCAGAGGTCAACCACACAAGCAGTGGATAGATGGAATATCTAGGGTCGTAAATGCCTGCTTCTACTAAGCACATACCAAGGTACGCACCCAATCCCTCTTCAAAACCTGAGGCTGCAGAGCAGAACAGAACCAGAATGATAATGAGGGACCCAACTGTGATGAAACTGGAACCGTGACTGACAGCCTTGATTTGCCTCTTATGACATACATATTCAGTTACAGAGTTACATTTATGTGCTTCAGTATAGGCCATAATAATATAAGGACACTGTTTGTATAAGTGTTAGTAAACATTCAAAATAAGAATCAGATAAAAATGAGACATATAATACAATTGATGATCATTTTAAAAAAGTATGTTGCATATCCTTTGGGGGACACCATAAACCAATGGAAAATCTGTATACTTTGTTAGTACAGAATAAACCTTTCAAGAGATAATGGTACAATAATTTTAAATGACCCCAAACAAGGAAAATCCAGGAAACCCCACAGCAGTCCACTATTCTAGTGGTGTTATGAAATGACTTTCTACCGTGCTCACACAAAGTGTGGAATGGTGTGCTTGTGCACCAGGCAGAAAACTTGGAAAGAAGTGACATTTCTTCACAAAATGCTGTGCAACTCTTATCAGTATGTGTGCATGAGTGTTTGCCCTGCTGTAATGTTCTGTGTGTGCATGGCTGTTGTAACATTATGTAATCGTCAAGGAAGATGAAAACTGAGGAAAACTAAATGTGTGATGTGTCAATCCAAGAGTAGTGTCAATTCGGTTGTGGGCATGCCATAGGTTAGAGACTACTGTTTTGGGGCCAGGCCAAATGTATGTGCTTACAAACAGCAGAATCGCCTCTGCTGTTCTGACTGGAACACAAAACATGAAGCCCTCGCCTGTCTCACATCAGATGTCACCACCAAATACCCACTGTTGTGGGGGAAAACTCATCCCACCTGATTTCTGGGCCTTGTAAACAGGCTCTAATCTCCACAGCAGTAGTGGGTCCTCCGATCACTGCAAGACTGATCAGCAGTGTGTTGGCAACAACCTCCCACAGGTAACTGCTGCAGTCAACAGTTGCTGCTGGCCATCGACATCCCGCTATTTCAACTGGCAAAATGAAATGCCTGTCAGCTCTTGAGACTAGCCGTACACAAAAAGGAGGACCTGACTGTAAGGCAGACACTCAGGGTCCTTGCAGCCATGTGCCTTGCTTCATCCCCATGTCCTCTCAACAGCTGGAGTGCCGGCATCTCCAATGCTCATGAATGCCAGTCAGTCAGCAACAGCACCATGAGATGACTCTTGGAGTCAGCAACATCTGGACGACTGAATACAAGATATTGTTTTCCTGCAGAAAAGCTGCGATGCTGCTCTGCTTGTCATGCACTGACTCAGACAGGTCAAGAAAATTCATGGCATAGTCACTAAGCACAAGTAATAATCTCCAGTTTTTAAAAAAAGGGTTTAAAAAAAAAAAACAGACTGAGAATAATGATATAAAAACACCACATATGGATAATGATGACATCAAAAATGCTGACTACACATAACATCCCAAGAATAGTCAACTGGACTGGGGTTTTCGGGATTTTCCTTGTTTGGGGTTGTTTAAAATTGTCGTACCAAGATAACTTATGTATGTTCCTGGTATGAGACTAACCCTATACCCTGAGAAGACTCAATGGTCACTCTGGATTGTGAAACAATCCTGTAAATGCTGATTTATCCTCATTTCTGCAGTGACCTGTTCTCGAAAAGAGTAGTTAAATGGTTCTATTTGCATCTGCATAGTGTTTAGGAGGCCCAAGTGTGAATATATTAACAAAATATATTAGTTAGAAGAGTTTCCATGGAAATCCAATAGCTTTTTTAAAGCCAAGTTGACTTAAAATTGCCTTGTAACATAAAGTGATAGAGGTCACAAGGTCAAGGCATGGGCCACCTGATATATGTTTGTTTTAGGCTCAAGGGAATGCATTCGATATAATGCTTCACCCTGTTCTTGTTTACTGATTACTCCCTTTTTATATCTTCATTTATTTCCAAAAATGGCAACAATGTAGATAAATCAATTTTTTTTTTATGTATTAGTCACCTATGTTAAATAGAATTTTTAAAGAATTTTTTCTGCGGAAATTTCCACTTTTATGACCCACTTTTTAACACACTTAGGACAAAAGGGCATCCGCTGCCTCAGTCTCTAATTCACATACAACATATTATATTATAAACACAGCACTATTTTACAGCAATAATATCACAGAAACAGCTCAGGACTGATCATCATTCTTCCTCTCTTTATCCTTTACTCGTTTAGTATCGTTGAGGGCCTGCGTTTTCACAAAGTCAATCTCCCTGTACTCAGTCGGGAGTTCCTTGCTGTGGTCTGTGCGGCTATGTGAGTGGCCATGTGCGTGAGTGAAGCGAGGCGGGTCTGGATTGGCCTCTGGTGGGGCTAGATCAATGTACTTCAGCTCCTTCTCTGTTTGTGAGGAGGGTGCAGGTATGGAGCGAAGCAGGCTCAAGGGGTGATGTGTCTACACAGAAAATGTTTCAACAGTCAACAATAACCCGATAAATACAAAATCAAACAAATGAAATTAACAAAATGAACAATTTAACAAATCAACAACTAAAAACAGCAACAATTTAACGAATCAACAACTACAAACAGCAACAATTTAACAAATCAACAACTAAAAACAGCAACAATCTAAAACACCAATCAACGATAAAAATGTGGGCTCTAGGTTCTCATTTTAGGAGCGGAAAGATAATCCTCTTCGGAAGAGAAGACTTCCCCACCTTCGCCAACAAGCATGTCATTAAAGGTGACCAAATCAACATCTGCTGAAACTGGACATACAAGGTCTAAAGCCGCAGATAATGCAGCCTAGCTGTATACCCCTACAAAAGGTGCCAACTGCCTTTGTAAGGTGAGCGTACAAGAAGAGAAGCAATTTAAAAAAAATTATTTTTCAGAGGTCACCTCCACAATTACAAATTCTCTTACAAAAAAGGGGATACTACTTTTACCAATAACATTTAAACTACTAAGTTATAGATGATAACACTATGAAACTATTAAAAAAAAAACAATCCACTGCCAACCTGAAAAACCAAATGGTGACAATGCCAATTTGTATACTCAATTATTAACATTTCAACGTTCATCAACAAAAATCTAAAGATTAATACTAACATTCATCCTTACCTCTTCTTCTGGTTCATGGACTCGCTGCAAATAAACAGAAAAGTAAATTATTCTTCTAATTAACTCAACCAGCTTTCTTCTTCTTAAACTTTGTGTGTGTGCGTGTGTGCATGTGTTTGTGTGATAACAAGTTTCTTCAGGGTGTGTCCTATCCTGGCGGCAGCAGCTTTACCTCACATATTAATTTACAGGATTTTGCTTCTCTCTCAAAGGACTGCAACTGTGGTACTAACATACCATTTAACCTGTTCTATTCAACAGAAGGAAAACCGTCATCACAAATTAGGTCCTTTGCAGAATGTCACTCTCATTACAGTTTGCCTGAACAAAATAATCAGTCTCTGCCAGCTCTCCCACCTGGTGCACTTGTCTACCCAAGATGTCACTAGTATCCTAGTATGCTCGTCTTGTGCTGGTCAGTACCTGTCCCGCTTTCTGGTACCATGCCTTCTGCTACTATTCTTTCCAATCCAGTGTGGTGCTTTTTTTTTACCAGAATATTCCAGTTTCTGAGAAAATATGCTGTTTACCTGGCAATTTTTTCGTGACTGTTTTTTTTAGAATGTCAATATTTTTCTTATAATTATTCTGGGTCAAGGTATTCTTAGAATCTTTCTATAGAATTTAGGCTCAAAAATGGAAAACTTATACACTGTAAAATAAAGTTTATTCAATCAACTTGAACCCTTTTGCACCGTAAATACTTAAAATTAATAACGTCCAGACTTCAGGTTACTTTGTAAACTTAAGGGACCTCAATATAACCTTATGGCTGAACAAGGCTTATGGGGATTTGTACATGTACGATTCTCAACATTTAGGTGTTAATCATGCGTAATGCAATCCTCAAGGTGCAAGACCCAGCAGCAGTGCTTAAAAAGTTAAAAAAAATATGAATCCATAGTAATTACCTCCCCCCCCCCCCCACCCCCCCACTCCCAATAGTTTTTTTTAAATCCATTTGACACAAGTCTGCAATAAAAAAAAAATTCAAATATATTAATCTGCATGTAAACAAATTTTGTTATTTTCTTTAGGCTTCTCAGGGAAAAGGCCACAGCAGAAATTATGGTTAAGGCTTCTTGGGAAAAGGCCACAGCAGAAATTATGGTTAAACAGCATTTATGAGACTGAGTCATAGAGGAAAATGCTGGATTTGCTGCTTCCCTGGACGACAGGGTTAACCAACATTTCAACAAAACACAACATTGAAACATACCATTTCTTCATCATCTTCTGAAGTGGACATCTCCTTAGGTCTAGGGGGCAGCAAGGGCCTTGGCGCAGGAATCGTAGCTGATAAAGACACACTGTTGACCTTTGGGCTGCAAGCAAATTAAGGACTCTTCTCATTTACACAGCAAAAAAACCATTTATGAGTCACTCTATATGCCTTGTTATAGACTCTATTTACTATATTCTACATGGGCAGAGGAAAGCATTAAGGACGATACTAGCCTTATCCTAGGAAGAAGAAATGCAATCTAAAAACTGAATGTTATTGTAGGGCTGAGCCACCCCTTAGCCTGAGCTGGTCTAGGAGGGAAGCTCCAACATGCGGATAGACAGCACTGCTTTTCTCTTTGTCTGCTGTGTTCTCACTTAAAAAGCCATTAGGCACATTATTTTTGTGATTAAAGCCAGGCTGTAATGAGGTGACCCATTTTCTGTGATGTTGGAACTGCAAATTCCTTACATGATTACCAATCAGGCTGCAATATCTTTGACTTTCAACCATACACATTCGATTTCAGCAACATCCTAAATAGATGTCTCCTAATTCATGGCCAATTCTGAACCCTTTGAAATGTGTTCATTCATTCGTTCTTTTATAATGGGCTTATTAGGAAACAGTGCATTTATTCTGTTCCCCTAAAATAGGGCCCCAGAACATACATCTGGATGATCTATTCAACAATGTCATCATAATCAGGTACTTTTTCAAAGTCTAAGTGCCATGGATGATCATGCCTGTCAACAACTCACAATCACCAACAAACTCACAATCATCAACAAAATGTTTCCATTCACTCAATTGTCTGTGCTACTCTCAGTAGAACAAAACTGTAAACATGTATACATACGCCTATATTCAGTAATGTAAACTTACATACAGTTGTAAGTTATGAGTTGGGTTATCTATACAGAACTGGGGACACCTCCATAAATGCTTAGATTCCAACAAGAACATATTCATCAGTGTCCCGTGGTTAATAGTGCCAGTTCTATGCTGGTTGACTGGAACTCTTGTATGTCCAGTGTGCCTCTCAAGCTTGAACAGTTTATGTGCCAATCTTTACTCCCAATTCTCATATTCTCAGCAGTGATGTGGACATGCTGCTTCCAAAATCCTCCGACTGTCCTATCTCTCTAAGGGCATTAATAATGTTGCCCTATCTGCAACTAAAGCAGAACCAGCCAGTATAGCAGCTCTTTCATTGCCAAAAACACCCACATTCTCTGGGACAAAGATGAAGGTAACTGCACATTATATACAGTAAGACAAGCCTCATACATTAACACAGGTCTACACGGTGTAAACCACTGGTTTCAAAAAATGAAAGCTGATATAGAGAACCACAGAATGACAAGATGACGTATGGTAACACCAGTCTGTATATGACATTACAAGTCTACACATGATAACACAAGCTTATATGTGATAACACAAGCCTACATATGATGACACATGACTACAGAAGATACCACAAGCCTGTATACGGTAACACAAGCCTACATATAATAACACAAGCCTACAGACAATAACACATCTATAAAATGGTAACACACACCCACACATGATAAAACAAGACTACACATGATAACACAAGCCTATACATGATAACACAAGCCTGCATATGATAACATAAGCGTACACCTAATAACACAAGCCTACATAGTAAGAGAAGCCTACAGATAACATAAGCCTACATTTGATAACACAAACCTACATATGATAAAACAAGCCTACATATTTGTATAACACAAGTATATAAAATGGTAAAACAAGCCTACACGTGATAAAACAAGCCTATACATGATAACATAAGCCTTTATATAATAACACCAGTCTACATATGATAACACAAGTCAACATACAGTAACATTAGCTCACATATTTCACAAGCCTACATATGGTAACACAAGCCTACATATGATAAGACAAGAAAACACAAGCCTATAAATGATAGTGGTAGGCTACACATGACAACACAAGCCTACATTTGAAAACACCAGCCAGGCTTACATACCTATGTCTCGCAACACTGCTCTTCAAACTGTAAGGACTCTTAAAGCTCCGTGTCCTTTTGGTGCTGAAGATACCAGTACTGGCCTCCTCTGTGATGGAGAGAAAGAGGAGATTATCATGATTCATCTACTGCTTCTGAAAATGTGTAACCTCTTAATTTATTTCTTCTTCTTTCCCTTCATTTCCCTTCTCTCTTCTCTTGTGTCAAGAGAGTTACAAGGTCCTACTTCTCCGATGTTATCTTTCCATTTTGTTCTTGGTCTACTTCGTACTCTACTTCCTTCTCTTTTAGTGTATACCTTGTATAGTATGGCATGGCAAAGCATTCTCTCTAATTGGACAAGTCATTTTATGTACTGTTTGTTTGCAGGATCATGTCCATGTAAAGTGTAACTTGTGTGGTTGTGGTTAGGTTTAGGGTCATTCACACTGGTGCTGTAAAACTGGTTTTGCTACCCAACCAGACTTATACAAGTGATGATCCCTGTGTGGGTTCGGGGACTCCACTGTGGGGAAAACAAGAACAGACCCACTGCCTCCCTAACAAGTGTGTCGCAAGAGTCGACTAATTGGGTGCTTCCTTCGGTCGGAGTGCATCTGCCCAAGAGGCAAAGAACCAGATCTGTAAAATGGATGCGCACGCAACAATCCGGTTCTAGAACAAGACTAGTGTCCAGAGGTGGACGAACAACCAGAACGTTCCGCCGGAGTTTATAGCTGGTTAATAAGAAAAAATAACAAGAGGACAAGTAATGAATCTAACAACGAAAACATCTGTTTCGATACAAGTGGGCAGTCTAAAAATTATTTCTATATATAAACATCAATGACAAGAAGAAAGCATGCATGCACGCTTGCACGCACGCATACACACACACACACAAATCATGGCGCGAATTTGAAATCGGACCATAACTAAATAATTAACATTGTGGAGACAGCAAAGAAATTAAAATTTTATAAAAATGGAATGCCTGCATGTTACAGGAATCCACCAGGGAAAAAAAGAATGATAATTTTGCAACCTACAAAGCATGCCTAAGTGGGGACTGAGGAGGACTGGTCTGAGACTGATTACTTCATTCAACTGAAAACAGCATCATCAACAAATGGACCAACTGGCAAGCATTGCAGCAACACATTTGGGAAGAAGCATGGATCTTGTAGGTATCATCAACCCTGTCTGGACTAGGTTAGAGGATTACGACCAATCTCTGACAATAACAGGATTGCCTGACGTGGGAGTAAAGCATGGTGAAGCACATCTATGCCCCCTTCGAGACCGAGATAGGAGACATTATAACCAACTCCTCATAGGAACAATCAGTATAGGTACCTTGAAGTGGCTGCTGCATCGGAGGACTGAGTATGCATGAGAATGCCTAGTGTACAGTGACGGGGACTGTGATAACATAATATTGAAAGCAGCAATCTGCATGATGTTTTACGAATCCTCATGCAAAACTTAAGCCATACGTCCACATCCTGTCCTGAGGATAATGGCCTACGTCTGCCAAAACAGAGCTGATGGTCTGCAGAAATGCAGCATCTAGACAACCTCTGACAGTTGTCAGCCCAGCTCCCACTGCATGAGTGACAACATTTATAGAGAATTCATTGTACAATACCTGTAGCTCACAGCCCAAGCCTCCTATTAGATGACAAAGGTTCTGATATCATTCAACTGAGACCCTACTAAATGACAACAAAAGGTTCAGATTGTATATAAACATTCTAGAAACAGGATCAATGTTTTTTTTATTTTTTATGTGGAGTGTATCTGCCTGATCAGCGAGGAAACAACAGACTGCATAGATCTGTAAAATGGATGCACATGCAAAACTCAGGTCCTAGAACAAGGTCAAAGACCAGACACAGAAAAACAGCCATGACTTTCTGCCAGAGTTTACAGCTGAGGAATGCAAACAACAGACTGCATAGATCTGTAAAATGGATGCACGTGCAAAACTCAGGTCCTGGAAAAAAGCCAAAGACCAGACACAGAAAAACAGCCATGACTTTCTGCCAGAGTTTACAGCTGAGGAATACAAACAACCAGCACAATCTAACCACAGATGAACTAGTCTACAAAGGGCTTTGTTTGAGCAAGAGGCCCCGAGATATTAAAACAATAATACACACATTAACAGGTGCTTTCACTGCACCAGGAAACTTGTGAAAGTCAGAAGAAATAAAATCTATACCAAGTTTTCTCTGAGATCCAGTGTAAAATAATTCAAAGCAGATCTCTCAAAACACACAAAGAAGAAAGTACATGATACAGAATAAGAACATGGAGGAGATATCAAATGATGGGACAGACTGGCTAAACATGTGCATGTATTATAGGTATATAAGTATATATATGTCTTTTATTATAGGTATATAAGTATTTACATGTCTTTTTTTTTTCTCTTCATGTTCTTCTTCTTCCAAACGACCTTTTCCAGTTGATTAAATCCAGTCCTACGAACAGCACTTGACTAAGTTTAATATATTTGCCTGAACCTAGAATAGATTTATTTAAAACAAGTTTAGCATATTCTGTTGCTCATTTATGGAACCATATTCCACTTGATCAGAAAATTGTAAAGAGTTCTTATTCATTTAACCGCAAACTTTCAGTTCATACTTACAAGTGATTATATGCCACCTTAAATGTAGTTAATATCTCAAATTGCATTATATTTATTATAATACAAAAATAGTGTGTATGAAATGTATTTATGGATGTAGGTGTGACATGTAAATGTGCAATATGTATGTATGTGTGTGTGTATGTGTAGGTGTGTTTGTGTATGTATAATTGTGTGTATATGTATGAGTGTGCGCATGGTAAATTATGTACACCTGATTGTTTGTGTATGGTTGTTTTTTTTAATGTTTAGGTGTTTGTGCGTGGATGGGTATATTTGAGAGTTCATGTATGTATATGTATGCATGTGTACGTGTGTCTATATGTGTGTGACAGTGTGTATGTGTCTGTGTGTGTGTGTGTGTGTGTGTGTGTGTCTATGTGTGTGGCTGTGCATGAATCTCTCTCTCTCTCTCTCTCTCTCTCTCTCTCTCTCTCTCTCTCTCTCTCTCTCTCTCTCTCTCTCTCTGTGTGTGTGTGTGCGTGCGCGCATGTGTGCATGTTTCCATGTATGTGTATGTCTTTGTGGGTGCAAGTGTGTGTCTGTATGCATGCATGATTATATGTATGTAAGTATGTATGTGTCTATGTATGTGCCTGTGAGAGTGTCTCTATTTATATGTGTGTGTGCATGTGTGTGGCTGTCAGTGTGTCTGTGTGTGTCTGCATGTGTGCGTCTCTGTGTATGTATGCGTGTGTGTCTATGTGCCTGTGTTTCTCTGTGTGTGTCTGCATATGTGTGTCTGTGAATGTCTGTCTGCATATGTGTGTCTGTTTGTGCATTTGTGTCTGTGTGTTTGTGTACATGTTTGTATCTGTAGGCATCTATGCCTTATGTATGTATGTATGTGTGTGTCTGTGTGCTTCAGTGTGTGTGTTTTTGTCTGTGTGTGTTAGTCTATGTGTGTGTCTCTGAGTATGTCTGCGTGTGTTTTCTGTGTGCGTGTGTTTTCTGTGTGCGTGTGTCTGTGTGGGTATGTCTGTGTGGGTATGTCCATCTGTGTGCTGGTCTGTGATTGTCTCAGTGAGTGTCTGTATGCACGGATGTGTGTATGAGGTATGTTTGTGTGAGTATATAATGTTGTTGGGGGTGTGTTTATGTGTGGAATATGTGTGTGTATGGAATATGTAGATGTGTGGAATATATATGTGTATGGAATATGTGGATGTGTATATGGGTGTGTAAGTGAGGAAATAAACAGGCTGGTGTGTGTGTGTGCACGTGCGTGCAAGTGTGCCCATGCATTTTTACCACCCATGCTTTTCTGTTTTTTCTTGGTATTCATAATATGCACATTATTATAAGAACATAACATGCTTTATTGATAAAATACAACTGCTCTGTGAAAGACGGGTGTTTGGAAGGGTCGAATGTAAGACCAGCCTGCATGCCCAATTTGTATCCCTATGAAAATAAAGTTTGTTCGTTCTTCGTTCCTTCTCCTCTTCTTCATCTTCCTCCTTTTCCATTTTTTTTTCTTCTTCTTCTTTTTCTTCCTCCCCCTTTTCTTTTTTTCCTCTTCTTCTTCTCCTTCTTCCTCTTCTTTTCTATGTTTGCTCTTAAAAGGACAGCTGGCACTCTGGGTTGTGGTTTACAACTAAGTTGCAATATTTGCATCATTTAGCCCAACAGGTGATTTCAGCAAATCTCTAATCCGTCACTTTTTACGGCATGTTTGTTAGGAGTCTATTGTGGAGTTTGTCCCCCACAATGGGACCTTTGAACCCACAAGGAGATTGTACATGTTCTACAATTATAAAATACCAGTGTTCAATATGACTGAATCAAAACAGAAACACTCACCTTGATTTAGGCCAACAGAATGACCATTTGCTACCCGGGAACTGACAGAAGGGCCTTGAGAAAGTAAACGAAGACCAGGTCGACTGGCATTTCCTGAGGCAGAAGCTGAAGCCGACGACGGTGATGGAGGGCACTGATACAGTAGGAGACTCCCGGAATTTCCAGCTGGTGACTCTCCTGGATATCCTGCTCGAGGTGGCGGAACAGCTGGTGCAGCAACACCTGTTTCTGAATGGACACTGTAATCTTCATCACTTCCACCTTGTGATCCCCCTGGATGCTCCCCAGGCCCGGACTTATTCATGGTATTCAGATATAAATGGGAGGAGTAGTTTCCTGAGACCTGTGAACCAGATCTTAGTGCAGCTGAAGGTACATGGGACAACTCTGCTTGATGATGATGCTGCATTGATCTTTGAGAAGAACGAGGAATATCATATCCAGTTCCTGAATTTGGTTGGTTTGATTTAGGATGTGCCAGCACTGTGTTTAAATCAGTAAACAGGGATGTCTTCCCTGTGGGAGGTAGATTTTGGTATGGAGACTGAAGATGATGGGGTTTTGGTGGTCTTTCAGGAGGAATTTCATTATCTGTGGATACAGACAAGCTATGATTGGAGAATGGATAGTCGAAACCTTCAGTGGATGTAACTGCTTGACCGTGGATGCTGCAAGATGTCCATGAATCTAGAGAAGAACTGAGGCTAGTGAGAGGGCTGCGACCAAGTGATGTGGATTCGTCAGCCAATGATGTTTCACCGACGGAAAGTTTGTTGTCTCGTGTAGTTAAATAAGGAGGGACTTTATATAATGAAGATGATTCTTTATGTTTTGACGTATGCTCCATTATTCCCCGTACTGAAGGATGATCCACCGATCTTCGAGATGGTGGATGATCATAAACACTTGGTATAAACACATCATCATCTACACTTGTCATGCCGTTATTGTGCAGCAGATGCCTTTTCTCAGGTAATGGAGGGGCCACTGACTCAGAAGTACTCTCAACACTGGTTTTCCTGCCCACAGACTGAAGTCCTGTCAGACGATTTCCTGCAACAAAACAAGACTGTTATCATTTGACATTTTTAAAACAAAAGTTTTCATTTCTTTTTCTTCTTCACATACACAGAACTGATTTATTAGTGAGCAGATTGTTGGTTTCTTGCCTTCAAGCTTCTGATAGAGAACATGTTTCTAAGATCACCACAGAGATGTGTAGATAGATCTTTACCAGTTTGTACCAAGTTCTTAATAAAGAACCAGTTTCTAAGATCACCACAGAGATGTGTAGATAGATCTTAACCAGTTTGTACCAAGTTCATGATAGAGAACCAGTTTATAAGATCACCACAGAGATGTGTAGATAGATCTTAACCAGTTTGTACCAAGTTCATGACAGAGAACCTGTTTCTAAGATCACCACAAAGATGTGTAGATAGATCTTAACCAGTTTGTACCAAGTTCATGATAGAGAACCAGTTTATAAGATCACCACAGAGATGTGTAGATAGATCTTAACCAGTTTGTACCAAGTTCATGATAGAGAACCAGTTTATAAGATCACCACAGATATGTGTAGATAGATCTTAACCAGTTTGTACCAAGTTCATGACGGAGAACCTGTTTCTAAGATCACCACAAAGATGTGTAGATAGATCTTAACCAGTTTGTACCAAGTTCATGACAGAGAACCTGTTTCTAAAATCACCACAGAGATTTGTAGATAGATCTTAACCAGTTTGTACCAAGTTCATGACAGAGAACCTGTTTCTAAGATCACCACAGAGATGTGTAGATAGACTTAACCATTTTGTACCAAGTTCATGATGGATAACCTGTTTCTAAGATCACCCCAAAGATGTGTAGACAGATCTTAACCAGTTTGTACCAAGTTCATGATGGATAACCTGTTTCTAAGATCACCACAGAGATGTGTAAATAGATCTTAACCAGTTTGTACCAAGTTCATGACAGAGAACCTGTTTCTAAGATCACCATAGAGATGTGTAGACAGATCTTAACCAGTTTGTACCAAGTTCATGACAGAGAACCTGTTTCTAAGATCACCATAGAGATGTGTAGACAGATCTTAACCAGTTTGTACCAAGTTCATGACAGAGAACCTGTTTCTAAGATCACCATAGAGATGTGTAGACAGATCTTAACCAGTCTGTGCCAAGCTCCTGTTTCTAAAATAACCACACAAGAAATGTGGAGTTTTGGTCAGTTGTTTTAAAAGTCCAGGGCGTTAAAACTTTTGACCACCAATCAGACAGACAAGACAGCTTGCTATTGTGTGATTACAGTGTCATTATCTTGATATGAAGGCAAGTAATCCATGTACAGAGATAGACTTTTAACCAGCTTGCCACTGGCACCATTAACATGTCAACTCGTCGTTGGTTACTGAAGAAGGGGATGAAGCAGGTGCTGGAATGTCACCAGTGCAGTTATATCCATTCTTGATTCATTCATTCAAATAATTACTACATGCAAATGGAGCAAAGTAATAAGTGTAATCATACTCACCATGTCTAAACACACTGCAGCTGCTTCCAGTACCAAAGCTGTTACAGAGGTGTATTGATCACTGCCCTTAGATGTCATAACACCCCATAAAAGTCACAAAACTGGCTTTTTCAGGGCAACAAAGTTAAGGAGTCTATGATTTCATTTACCAAAAAAACTCTTTATCTTTACAATTTAATCCTTTTTGTGATAATAATGTTTATAAATTATAATAAGTTCTTTATTTTGACTATTAAAAAGTATGGGGTTTGTGGCAAACCTTTAAAACAAAAGGGATCCTCAGATCTTAGCTAATTGGGAACCACTGGTCTGGTGAGTTCTCTCGCATCTTTACTTCTTTTCCTGTCCATAGCCCAGCTTTGGAGTTGAGTGTATGGTGTGATACTGTGAGCTGCAGATTTCCTTTGGTTTCAACTGCCCAAAGTGGTCTGTGTTGTGAATTGGAAATTCAAAAAATGGTGTGTGGCCTGTTGCCAGAGAATTAGTGGTGACATGCAGTGAATTGCATGTACAACAACTGATCTGTTGTAACCACGCTTCCACTGACGATGAACTGCATTTCTAATGTCAGAATGTTTGTGTTGGCACGTCTAACAGCTGTCTTGTGTATTTAATGCATGTGTATGCAACTAGATTTGCTGAGATTGCAGCCTGCATCAATTTGTGTCAGAAGGAGCAGTGATGGGCACTTTGCATGGTTTTCATTGGCACAGAGATGGAGCAACTATGAGGTGACGGGTTTGCTGTGAATTTAAAACTGTGATTATCTGATTTTCCTTTCACAGTGTGAGTGCCTGTCAATAGTTGTGGATATAGTTTAAAGTGATTTCAACATGATTTCTATGACTTAATGAAGACAATGATGATGATGACGCTGATGATAAAGGACAGTGGAATGATGTGCTCTCTCCCGGTGTGGGTTCCTGGGCCCCATTGCATGGAAAACAAGAATGGATGCACGGCCTACCCAACAAGCATGTCGTAAGAGTCGACCAACTGGGGGTTTCCTTTGAAGTCGGAGTGCATCTGCACACAAATAAATCAGATCTGTAAAACGGATGTGCATGCAACACTCAGGTTGTGGAACAAGACTAAAGTCCAGAGGTGGATGAACAACCAGACCTTTCTACTGGAATTTACAGCCGGTGGATGCGAAGAAGAACAAGAACATGTGATTTCATGAATTCAAACAAACCTGATAATGATAGTGAAGACAATGGCGATGATGACAACAAGGGGCCATGGGGGAATGTAATTTTAAGACTTCAAACAAATGATGAGAAAAAGGTACCATGGAGTCAAAAAGCTAAAGACCTCAACCAAACTGAGGAAGCTAATGAGCACGTTAGTAAAGCACCATAGCGTGATATAATCTAGTGATTTTAACACACTCATTTCCAGACTAAACTAAGATGAGGGATCATTGAGTAATGTCATCTAATGACTTCAACCAATCTAATGATGATGATAAGAATATTGACTGAGACGTGATGTGCTCTAATTGTTTCAATGTTAACCTTTTAACCTGGTGACAAAGATGCAGATACACATAAAAGTATTTCCCTTACCTGGAGAGAAGTGGCCTAAGCTAGTTTCTGAACTTGTGGAGGCCCGTGAGTGAGTCCGAGCTAGATGACCAGCAGAAACCCTGGGGTTTGTGGACATGGGGGAATCTGAGAGTTTCACCTGCTGGTGTGGGCTGCAAGTGGTCCCATTGACCACCATCGGGCCACTTCTTTGTGCACCTGCTCCTGCTGTCTGGTCAGGCTTCAGATCAGGAATGTCTGTTGCTAAAAAGAAAACATAAAATTGTCACGATAAAACTCCAAAAAAATTATCAAAGAGAGCTTACAGTTAAGTTAACAAACAGAGCTAAAGTTAAAGTTCACAAACAGAGCTAAGATTAAAGTTTATAAACATACCTGAGGTTAAAATTCACAAATAGATCTAATGAAGTTCACAAACAGAGCTAGAGTTGAAGTTCACAAACAGAGCTAGAGTTGAAGTTCACAAACAGAGCTAGAGTTGAAGTTCACAAACAGAGCTAGAGTTGAAGTTCACAAACAGAGCTAAAGTTGAATTTAACAAACAGAGCTAGAGTTGAAGTTCAAAAACAGAAGTTATTTGACAATTCTTCTGAATTAGGTGTTGTGTAGTTTTCTTAAATTTTTTTACGTTCAGTCATTTGCCATTGCGTTATGAATGCATCCTGATCATCGGGTATCCTGCCCGGTGGGTGGGCATTCATGTCTCTCCACAGATCTCAGTCCTCTGGATTTTCAAACAATTTCACTGATGATATTCCTCCATGCCATAAAATTTCATCTCTCTTGGTCTGCCTCTTCTACCGGTGACCTGTGCGGTCATCACGATATTCTCCAATACCACTCTTCTCATTACATGACTGAAGAACAATGATGCTCATTACCATGACACTGATGCTCACAATCAATACCCAGTGGTCTGCAACTAAATGGCCTACAGTTGACTTCAAATCCTGGCATGGCATGATTGTGAAACTGTGTTCACAACCTCTAAGAGAATAAACTATATTTTCTTCTTAATGTTCACCAGCAACCACAGTAATCTTTTCACAGTGTTCACCAGCAGTAAACACATTATTACAGCAACCGCACATGCAGTGATATTTTTTGTGTGTTCACCAGCTGTAAACATGTTATTATAATAGCCACACATGCAGTAATACTTTCACAGTGTTCACCAGCAGTAAACACGTTATTACAGCAACCACACATGCAGTGATATTTTTATTGTGTTCACCAGCTGTAAACATGTTATTATAGTAGCCACACATGCAGTAATATGTTCACAGTGTTCACCAGCAGTAAACACGTTATTACAGCAACCACACATGCAGTGATATTTTTATTGTGTTCACCAGCTGCAAACACGTTATTATAGTAGCCACACATGCAGTGATCCTTTTACTGCGTTCACCAGCCTTGTTAATATAGCAACCACACAGGCAGTAAGCTTCTTCTTAGCGTTTACCAACCACACATACAATAATTTTCTTTTTCTACTTCAGTTTGTTCACAAGCTGTAAACTCCATCAGATAATTCTAGTTCTTTGTCCACTTCTGGATTTTGTTTCAGAAACACAACCATCTTAGAGATATGGCTTATATCTTCTTCTTCTTCTTTTGTTCGCCTGAAATAAGTTGTCTATATCAGCAATTCTGTCTCGTGTATAAATTTCCCTGTTGTTGTTAATTCATTCAGTGGTCCATAGAGTTTACGTTCCACTGTTGTTCTTTCTGGCCAAAAGGTTTGCCTTAATGTGTCAAATTCGGTGCAGTCCTGGAGTACATGCTTTGCTGTCTGGGGCACCTTTCCACAGGTGCACATGGCTGATTTGCCTATCTTGAATTTTGTGTACATGTGGTTACGTAATCCGTTGTGCCCTGTTCTGAGGCGGAGGATAATGACTTGTTCTGATCTGTCCATAATAAAATAGTCGTCTTGTGTTGGGGCTGGTGGTTTCCTGATTGATTTAATGATTCTTTTGTTTTGGTGGTATGTGACTGGTACATCCAGCTGCACTTTTGTCGCACGCTGGACTTATCCCTAGTACCATCTGGGAATTCTATGTACACTCCAGCACCACCATTTCTAACTGCACTTTCTGCTTATATTTATGCTGACAAATTTTGTTTCTTGTCTATCAGGCAGATGCAGTCCAACTTCAACATAAAAGGCCTTAAACTTAGGCGTTTCAGTAGAACAATCTGTACTGCAGTGGATTCCAGATCACTGTGGCTTGAAAGGCAATGAAATAGCGGACAGATTGACCAGAAGCGGCAGTGACATGGTACAACCAAACAGTGACTTAACCCACCAAGAGACGAAAACATTGAAACAGTCTAGTATCCAAAAAAGGTGGCTGGATACACACACCAGATTCTCTCCCCAAGACTCGCTTTATCAACTCTCTAGAGAGGGACAGTGTAATATATTCAGACTAAGGATTGGGCACAACAGACTTCGTCAACATATGTTCAAATTTATTGGTGTAGGAAACAGGGAGACATGATCCTGCAGCGTGGCAATCGAAAATGCTGAGCATGATCTCCAACATTATTAACTGTATGCTGACAACAGAGACACAATCTGGCCTGTTCCAACCACAATGAAGACTAAGCTGTATGGTACATGACAGGATATAGACTGCACAATAGCTTTCATAAAGGTTATCGACCTCCTGATATAAGTTTTCTGACAGAAGGATTGAAGAAGAAGAAGAAGAAGTAACCTTTTATAGAACTTTCCACTGGACTTCACAGCTGGTGAACACAAAGAAAACAAGTTAAAGTAAATACCGAGTGAGGCAGGAAAGCCAGGAAATGCATGGTGAACTGACAGGTAGAGAATGAGTGAAATCTCTGAGTCAAGCAAATGAAACTTACGTTGATCCTCAGGTCGGAGCCCACAGACATGACACAGCCACTTCACCCACGTGTTCATATCTTGTTCTGTATCGGTGGCTAAGTAGTAAGTGCGTATCTGTTTAGAATCAAATATAATAGTATACAGTAGTATGTGTACAGAATACAAAAATAACATATTCATATGTATACTGACTGACAAAGCTTCTGACAAACTATAGAGAACACAGAACAAATCTTTGGACCCATAAAGATGCAAAAGGCATAGAATGGAGAGTGAGAAGCAACAGAGAAATTCATCAATTGTTTAACTCTGTCTGGACAGCACTGTTTTTGGGGTTTGGATAGCATTAATTTTGAGCTGAATTTTTTTACTGCATCATGACAAAGCTAGAACCTTCCTGATAAAATTTTAAAAAATACTGACTGTATAGTGACATATAATACAATACAAGTGAGTGACTTATGCAGCAATCGACCTCAAGGATTCGGAATTGTGATGAAGAAGAACAATATGATGAGCAACACTGTAGGAAAAAGGTTGATGAGAGAGGCTAGGGTGCTTGACTAGATAGTATCCATGACATCGAAAAGACCAAACAGATTAGTATGGAATGGACGAATGGGCTGTGAGGTTTATATGGCAAAAAAGATGACAATGATACTGATATATATATATATATATATATATATATACAGGAAAAGCACAAACAGGATGGAAACAAGTAAATGATAAACAAGAAGGAAACAAAAAATACAAATGAGAAATAATCAGAAAAACACAAGATACAAGCAAAAAGAATGGAAAAAAAAAGAGAAAAATTTAAGAGAGAAAAAAGATAGTAAGAAAGAAAGAATGAATGAATAAACACACTTTATTTTCAAAGGTTTATGAATTGGGCACACAGGCCCGTCTAATGTCCTGCCCCCAATATCCCTCCTTGCATACAGTTATTCATTCATGCATCAATCAATTCATAGGTAATAATAAACATTTTCAAAGTAATCTACTAATTCAAAAAAACATTTTAGTACAGTAATAAATGTAATCCAATAATGTTACAAATCTAATAGTTAGCATAATATAAACATTATCAACAACTAGATAATTTCAAATGCTGGAATGAGCTCGACTGGCACCTAAATTTGTAAACACTAATAATTCTTAGTATAAAATGCACACATCCAGGGAAATATACCACAGGCTTAGCATACTACAATCTTTTAGGGGAGCCTGTAGTCTGCTATGAGATAATAATCCAATACAGCTTCATAGCAAATGGGTCACCCCATAGTTGCTCCCCTCCTGTGCCAATGAAAAACACACAAAATGTTTGTCACAGTCCCTTGTGGAAAGATTAACAGTCTGCTCTCTCAGCATATGCTCTAGCATACACACCCACTGAAAGCATACTGTAGCCATCTGAAGTGCTAACACAAACAGTCCGACATTAGAAATGCAGTCTTCAAATGCAGCAAAAATGCAACGGCCACATTCTGGCAAAAGCAAAAAAAAATTTGTCACGGCTCAAAAAAGTGGCCATGCCTAGCGTCCATTTTGACCTGAAGCATTATGTGAGGGTTAATAAATGGTCACCCCAGCAGTACCCTCACTATTAGCCCTCATCCTCACCCAACAGCCATGCAGTTCTTTGGCACGAAGGAGACACCTTGAACTTGGGTTTCGGACTGCCGACTCCCTACAAGATGTTATATTATGCAATGTTATCACAATCGACGTCACTGCACATTGGGCATTCCCATGTGTGCTCAGCCTTCAATGCAGCAGCCACTCCAAAGTACTTCTACTAATTGTTCTCATGAGAAGCTAGTTATACTGTCTCCTGTCTCAGCCTTGAAGACGACAAAGATGTGCTTCACCATGCTTTACTCTATGGCTGTATGTAATGGGGGTTAGTGGTATTTTTGATTCTCTTGGGAAAATGATTTCACAGCTAAGTAAACAGTATGCCAAGCCTGTTTGTCTAGGTCCACTGTAGGCTTAGGGAACAAAGATAGACAGAGAGAGAGAACTGTAACACTGACACACCTTGTGTTTGTATGAAGTCTTGATAGCTAGCAGATAAGGAAACACGTCCGAGTCCAGAGCTTCGATGATCTGCTCGCACTGGTCCAGGTCTATGGAGCCCTTCTTGTTGGTGCAGCGCTGATCCTTGTAGTAGTGCAATTCATACTGATCAGGGAGACTACCTGTTGGCTTGCGCAGGACAAAGTAGCGCTTCTTCCAATGCTGCAATGAAAGAGATACTGGTAAAGTTTGAGTATCTGACGATCACCAGCGATATGCGTAAATTACAATATATGACTGCGGCCTGACTGAAGCACCACATGATAGCAACCAGTTTTATGAACAGCCAAGCATTCCTTTCGGTACGCTCAAAACTTATCTCAACACCCAAATGTAAAAAAAACTGAAAGTGAAGAGAAGACCATTTGCTTGTGCAAATTGGAGTGCCCTTTTTAATCAAATGCAGAGAGACTTTCAGATGTGCAATGTGTATAATAGGTCTCGAAAAAGAAGGGATGTTTGGGCTCCCCCTCCCCCCCCCCCCCCCCCCCCCCCCCCCCCCACCTTTTCAACAACAAAAATGTGCCTGAGCGCCCAGGTTTTGGTGTGCTTGAGGAGGGAAGCTAATAATTTGCGTCTCTCCTGTGTGACAACTGAGAGGGTGATCTAAAGCAGTGTTCTGCAACCAATCAGCTACGTGGTAAAGTAGGTAATTTCTCATCTAGGATTGCAGTCTGTATGATTAACAGCTCAAGGATGAGAATCACAAGATGTGGCATTAGCTGGATGAGAATCACAAGATGTGGCATTAGCTGGATGAGAATCACAAGATGTGGCATCAGCTGGATGAGAATCACAAGATATAGCATCAGCTGGATGAGAATCACAAGATGTGGCATTAGCTGGATGAGAATCACAAGATGTGGCATCAGCTGGATGAGAATCACAAGATGTGGCATTAGCTGGATGAGAATCACAAGATGTGGCATCAGCTGGATGAGAATCACAAGATGTGGCATCAGCTGGATGAGAATCACAAGATGTGGCATTAGCTGGATGAGAATCACAAAATGTGGCATCAGCTGGATGAGAATCACAAGATGTGACATCAGCTGGATGAGAATCACAAGATGTGGCATTAGCTGGATGAGAATCACAAGATGTGGCATTAGCTGGATGAGAATCACAAGATGTGGCATCAGCTGGATGAGAATCACAAGATGTGGCATCAGCTGGATGAGAATCACAAGATGTGGCATCAGCTGGATGAGAATCACAAGATGTAGCATCAGCTGAACATTTAACACAATCTTTTTATGAAGAGAAATAAAATAACGCAGACTAAAGCAATGCATTGCACAATTTATTCACAGCATATTTCACTGCATCTCATCAGGTAACATTACTACAGGTTTATAGAGCATAAAAATTAATTTCCTCTGTTTTTGTGGGGCATGTGGTAAAAGAAAGTTGAGGAACACTGTTCTAACCGAACACAGTTCTAACCAATCAAGTCTCCACAATAACAGTGGAACCATTGTTACCAGTCCACAGACATGACATCTTTTTCATGGGAAATAAATAATAACAATTTAGGCATATTGGGGAAAACCTGATTTCCTAGACACAGCATGGGCTGATAATGGGGAAAGCCTGACTTCCTAGATACAGCATGAACTAATATCTCCTCAACATGAGGAAGTAAATATATAGACAAAACAAGTCACGTATTTAACTATTAAAGTGTGCTGGAAAAAGCTAAAGGTCAAAGGTCAACAGCTCTTCCTACCAAATAACAACTGATTACTGAAATAATGGGAATGTGCCTCTGTCTTTTGTGTTTAATGTTTTTTTTGTTTTTTTTTTCAACTTTAAGTATGCTAGTTTAGTATTCTGTCTGATTAAACTCCAAAATGATAATGGTTGGTTATGTATCATACATTGTATGAGGTATGGTGCAGAAATGAAAACAGCTGTGGAGCACAGACACAGCTGAACTTCAGTCTGAATGGAAAAACGTGTCTTTCCTGTCTTTTACCGTCCTCACACTATACGGTGATGTTGTTGGGCAGGCGATCAAGTGCTACTGGAGGATTTATGGACACGTTTCTACTAGTATTGTGCCGTGAACTGTATACATTCCACATGTGATGAATTTATTGTTCTCTCTCGAGGCCCGGCCCGAAGACTCCCGAAGACCGAAAATTAAAACACAAATCAAAACGAAAGTTTCATTTTTTACAATTAGAAAATCTTTGGTATACGTAGCTAAAACTGAGTGTTTAATAAATGTATAGAGTTGATAAATTATCAATGTATGTATCTACTGAACCTGCCGTGTGTGGTTTCGCGGTTCTAGTCAGTAGTCTACAGAACGACGAATGTTGGTTAAGTTTCCATACTTACAGAATGAAAGATCTTGAAGTGCAACCGAAGCTGTCGTTCAGGTGGCGACTTGGTCATCCATCCTGAATGCACGACGCTTGCCATCTCGGGGGGAACCTTTCTCCTGTTCATTCATTTGAATTCATGAGCTGAGAACGAAAAAAATGTCGGGAAACAACAATTAAATCTCAGCAGAGCTACGGCAAGAAGAAGGTTGTGTTTTCAACGTCTGAGAGTCTAGCAGACGCAGCCTCGTATCCGCGTTGTGACGTCACACGCCAGTCATGCAGAACGTCGAGCCTGGTCGCACACTGGTTTCCTTTCCGTTCTTCTGCTCCAGCTACTCGCCTTTAACTCTGTCAGTACTGGTGAACTTGACAGTCGCCCTGGTGTATCGGCTAGCCAGGGGCAGGATTGTAGACCTGATGGGGGCACTAATCTATATAAAGTCACGAAGCTCCTATCGTTTTAAATTACATTAGCAAATCTCAGAAAACTTTAAAACATTGAAGCTCAGTCAATAAACGGTAGATGTTGGCGCATATGCAGCTGATTTTTCAATTTAAACATGCTACAACAAGCTGGAATAAACGAAAGCCTGAAATAATTACACCTTAAATAATATTTTAAAAATTTAAAAATTTCTAGGGAATTCTCTCTGTCTCACACCCCCCCCCCCCCCTAATATGCATATTATTAAATGAAAATAACATGCTTTATTGATAAAATACAACTGCTGTGTGAAAATGGGTGTTTGGAAGGGCCGTATGATAGGCGTGACCTTTTGAAAACAAGTTCTCTCGTTCTCTCTCTCCTCTCTCTCTCTCCTCTCTCTCTCTCTCCCCCCCCCTCTCTCTCTCTCTCTCTCTCTCTCTCTCTCTCTCTCTCTCTCTCTCTCTCTCTCTCTCTTAAATTCATTTTGTAATAAACCCACATTTGTGAAAAATAGACATTTTGCTAGGACCCCTGCAGATTGTGAGGCCCTAAGCGGGTCCTCTGGTCGGGGGTTCTGGTCCTGGCAAAGTCAGACTTTTGTTTCCCAGGTCGACCCAGCCTTAAATGGGTACCTGGTAAAATCCTGAGAAGTAAAGGTGGCTTCGTTGAGGGGGATATACAGTATTTATGTTATATAGTAAAATATGTAAAACTGATTATAAAGGCTCGGGGTGGTTTGTAGTCAAACAATATCATCAGCAGCTGGGGTCATGCCAACGGGCGGAGGCGACCATGTCTATCCAGGGTCCGTTGCGGTGTCGGTTGATAGCTGATGAGCTGTTGTTATGGTAGTATACAACTAGGCGGCGATAAGCGGTCATCTGCACACCTGCCGTAGGTGCTAGGGATTATCGGGATCTCCTGTGCACATGGTGCAATGACTGTATTTAGAGTAACAATGAACAATTATGGCAAAGTGTCGTGATATAGTATTGCATCCCTGTGGATCACTGAGGGTTCTTCTTCTTCTTCTTCTTCTTCTTCTTCTTCTTCTTCTTCTTCTTCTTCTTCTTCTTCTTCTTCTTCTTCTTCTTCTTCTTCTTTGCGTTCGGTTTCGTATGCTCAGATCAGGCCATCAGGTAGGTTGCCTCTATGAACTCGCATGCCAGCTGCAGGTCCTGCATGGTCACCCATAGCTTGCTCTGCACAGTTTGCTCTTGAGGCCAGATGTCTTTTCGAAGTTGCAGGTAGAGTGGGCAGGTCTGAAGAATGTGCTGAGGTGTTTATGGTCCTGTTTGACAGGCAGGCTTTGGAAACTGTACAATCTTTATTTTATGCATGTGGTAGTTGAGCCTGCAGTGTCCTGTTCGTAGACGGAAAATTGTTGTATGTTGCTTTCTGTTGAGTCTGCTGATGGGGTCTTGTGGATGTTTACTGTTAGTTCTCTCCACAATCCCTGGGATTTTCCTTTCATAAGTGTTTTGATTTCTGGTAATGACAATGAATGGGCGTGTTGTTTCTCCTTTGTTTCATTTTTTGCAAGTCTGTCTGCTAGCTCATTTCCTTGTATGCCGCAGTGAGCCAGGATCCACTGGAGAACGATTTGATTGTTTGACTGAGGGTTCAAGTGGTCGTGTCAGCTAGTTACATGAGGGTTTAGTGGTCGTGTCAGCTAGTTACATGAGGGTTCAGTGGTCGTGTCAGCTAGTTACATGAGGGTTCAAGTGGTCGTGTCAGCTAGTTACATGAGGGTTTAGTGGTCGTGTCAGCTAGTTACATGAGGGTTCAAGTGGTCGTGTCAGCTAGTTACATGAGGGTTCAGTGGTCGTGTCAGCTAGTTACATGAGGGTTCAAGTGGTCGTGTCAGCTAGTTACATGAGGGTTCAAGTGGTCGTGTCAGCTAGTTACATGAGGGTTTAGTGGTCGTGTCAGCTAGTTACATGAGGGTTTAGTGGTCGTGTCAGCTAGTTACATGAGGGTTCAAGTGGTCGTGTCAGCTAGTTACATGAGGGTTCAAGTGGCCGTGTCAGCTAGTTACATGAGGGTTCAAGTGGTCGTGTCAGCTAGTTACATGAGGGTTTAGTGGTCGTGTCAGCTAGTTACATGAGGGTTCAAGTGGTCGTGTCAGCTAGTTACATGAGGGTTCAAGTGGTCGTGTCAGCTAGTTACATGAGGGTTTAGTGGTCGTGTCCAGCTAGTTACATGAGGGTTTAGTGGTCGTGTCAGCTAGTTACATGAGGGTTCAAGTGGTCGTGTCAGCTAGTTACATGAGGGTTCAAGTGGTCGTGTCAGCTAGTTACATGAGGGTTCAAGTGGTCGTGCAGCTAGTTACATGAGGGTTTATTGGTCGTGTCAGCTAGTTACATGAGGGTTTAGTGGTCGTGTCAGCTAGTTACATGAGGGTTCAAGTGGTCGTGTCAGCTAGTTACATGAGGGTTCAAGTGGTCGTGTCAGCTAGTTACATGAGGGTTCAAGTGGTCGTGTCAGCTAGTTACATGAGGGTTTAGTGGTCGTGGTCAGCTAGTTACATGAGGGTTCAAGTGGTCGTGTCAGCTAGTTACATGAGGGTTCAAGTGGTCGTGTCAGCTAGTTACATGAGGGTTCAAGTGGTCGTGTCAGGCTAGTTACATGAGGGTTCAAGTGGGTTTCGTGTCAGCTAGTTACATGAGGGTTCAAGTGGTCGTGTCAGCTAGTTACATGAGGGTTTAGTGGTCGTGTCAGCTAGTTACATGAGGGTTCAAAGTGGTCGTGTCAGCTAGTTACATGAGGGTTCAAGTGGTCGTGTCAGCTAGTTACATGAGGGTTCAAGTGGTCGTGTCAGCTAGTTACATGAGGGTTTAGTGGTCGTGTCAGCTAGTTACATGAGGGTTAGTGGTCGTGTCAGCTAGTTACATGAGGGTTCAAGTGGTCGTGTCAGCTAGTTACATGAGGGTTCAAGTGGTCGTGTCAGCTAGTTACATGAGGGTTCAAGTGGTCGTGTCAGCTAGTTACATGAGGGTTTAGTGGTCGTGTCAGCTAGTTACATGAGGGTTCAAGTGGTCGTGTCAGCTAGTTACATGAGGGTTCAAGTGGTCGTGTCAGCTAGTTACATGAGGGTTTAGTGGTCGTGTCAGCTAGTGGTCGTTACATGAGGGTTCAAGTGGTCGTGTCAGCTAGTTACATGAGGGTTTTAGTGGTCGTGTCAGCTAGTTACATGAGGGTTTCAAGTGGTCGTGTCAGCTAGTTACATGAGGGTTTAGTGGTCGTGTCAGCTAGTTACATGAGGGTTCAAGTGGTCGTGTCAGCTAGTTACATGAGGGTTCAAGTGGTCGTGTCAGCTAGTTACATGAGGGTTTAGTGGTCGTGTCAGCTAGTTACATGAGGGTTCAAGTGGTCGTGTCAGCTAGTTACCATGAGGGTTCAAGTGGTCGTGTCAGCTAGTTACATGAGGGTTCAAGTGTCGTGTCAGCTAGTTACATGAGGGTTCAAGTGGTCGTGTCAGCTAGTTACATGAGGGTTTCAAGTGGTCGTGTCAGCTAGTTTACATGAGGGTTCAAGTGGTCGTGTCAGCTAGTTACATGAGGGTTTAGTGGTCGTGTCAGCTAGTTACATGAGGGTTCAAGTGGTCGTGTCAGCTAGTTACATGAGGGTTCAAGTGGTCGTGTCAGCTAGTTACATGAGGGTTTAGTGGTCGTGTCAGCTAGTTACATGAGGGTTTAGTGGTCGTGTCAGCTAGTTACATGAGGGTTCAAGTGGTCGTGTCAGCTAGTTACATGAGGGTTCAAGTGGTCGTGTCAGCTAGTTACATGAGGGTTCAAGTGGTCGTGTCAGCTAGTTACATGAGGGTTTAGTGGTCGTGTCAGCTAGTTACATGAGGGTTCAAGTGGTCGTCGTGTCAGCTAGTTACATGAGGGTTCAAGTGGTCGTGTCAGCTAGGTTACATGAGGGTTTAGTGGTCGTGGTCAGCTAGTTACATGAGGGTTCAAGTGGTCGTGTCAGCTAGTTACATGAGGTTCAAGTGGTCGTGTCAGCTAGTTACATGAGGGTTCAAGTGGTCGTGTCAGCTAGTTACATGAGGGTTCAAGTGGTCGTGTCAGCTAGTTACATGAGGGTTCAAGTGGTCGTGTCAGCTAGTTACATGAGGGTTCAAGTGGTCGTGTCAGCTAGTTACATGAGGGTTCAAGTGGTCGTGTCAGCTAGTTACATGAGGGTTCAAGTGGTCGTGTCAGCTAGTTACATGAGGGTTCAAGTGGTCGTGTCAGCTAGTTACATGAGGGTCAAGTGGTCGTGTCAGCTAGTTACATGAGGGTTTTAGTGGTCGTGTCAGCTAGTTACATGAGGGTTCAAGTGGTCGTGTCAGCTAGTTACATGAGGGTTCAAGTGGTCGTGTCAGCTAGTTACATGAGGGTTTAGTGGTCGTGTCAGCTAGTTACATGAGGGTTTAGTGGTCGTGTCAGCTAGTTACATGAGGGTTCAAGTGGTCGTGTCAGCTAGTTACATGAGGGTTCAAGTGGTCGTGTCAGCTAGTTACATGAGGGTTCAAGTGGTCGTGTCAGCTAGTTACATGAGGGTTTAGTGGTCGTGTCAGCTAGTTACATGAGGGTTCAAGTGGTCGTGTCAGCTAGTTACATGAGGGTTCAAGTGGTCGTGTCAGCTAGTTACATGAGGGTTTAGTGGTCGTGTCAGCTAGTTACATGAGGGTTCAAGTGGTCGTGTCA